GGCGGTATGCCTTTCCTATATACATGTCTAAACTCCCAGCATCTCCTGTAATAACTCCTATAGTAGTCCCTATATACTCCCCTATATAACCCCCGCTTTAAGGAGTTTTGACTATAGTTCACATTGAAACAAGAACTACAAGCAAGGGGCCGCATCATTGCTCTAACAGGACACAGGTTGATGCAGGAGCGGATAGCCGACCTGAAGGCGACATCAACAGCAGACCTTGCGAGGGCAAATGTCATGATAAGTGCAACCATGCCAACACAAAAATTGCGGGACACGCCATGCAGCAGCTTGTTTCATGTTCCGTGTTTCTCTTACTGGGCGTAGTAGGGAATAAGGGAATAGATATTCCCTTATTTCCCACTGACTCCCAGCAAGTTCCTGTTGCCAAGAGACCGCAGGTTGAGTTGCGGATCATCTCCGCAAACGTTACGCCATCATCCCGCCCTGCATCAGGCTTCTGTTGATTGGGATTCAGCTCCATGCAAACAAAAGCCGAAACTTCTAGCATCTCCCTTAATAACTCCTATCACAATCCCCTATATAAGTATATAAGCCCAGAGGAGCTTAGACTATGGCTCATACAATCTGGCATATGTTAGCTTCCATACATAGGGAACCTGAACTCCAAAATACCAAAGCCATCATCCCTACTGTAGGAAATCACCAGAAGTGGCCGCCAATATTTAGAAACCCCTATAGGAGCTGAAAGCAGGTTCTGATACTTACAGAGGCTGGTACAAGTAGAGGCCAAGGACGCAAAGTTCTCGGATGAGCAAATCGATACTGCAGGTACACTTTGATCCTTTTCATTGGGTCCAGGGAGGGGAACCCAAAGCCAAGCCACAATCTCCCCGCGAGGGAAATCACAGCCTGCCTTTTCCTCTCGTTATTCCCATGTTCCTAGTTGCTGGCCCTCTTTGGCCAGCAGGCACGCTAGGTTGACAATGACATGACCGCTTGGTTTGGAGGCGTTGTAGGCCGATGGCAAGGAAACCATGTATTTGGTTTGAGTCGTCTTCTGAAGTCTTCTGAAGTCTAAGACCCAAAATCCCTGCATGCAACCACAACAGGGTAAGTTTCTAAAGCGTGCGCTTTCTCCTCAAGATCGCCATGCTTCCCTAGGGTGCCGGCAAGTGAGCCTTGTCTCCAGAAGAGCTTGTCTTTCTGTAGTCTGCAACCCGGCAGCTCAGGTAAACCGCGCGAGCATTTACAATTACTGTCCGCAAAGTGGAGGGCATTCGTAAAAAGACCCTCTTTACAATGTGCACCCTGTACTGTAAGTGTGTCATAGGGATATCCCCCACCTGCCGTTCAGTGAGCTTTTGTCGCCTGAGCTCTTGCCACTCAACATGACTGATACGACGGAACCTATCACATCACAACCGGGCAAATTATTGAAAGGCACCGAAAAGTGCTGAGCCTGACCCTTTGAGCCTCAGCGTTGAGGACAGTGCCCGAGCAATTTTATTGGGGTTATAAATATGGGGATGATGGAAAAGAGAATGGAAACTACTATAGTTTATTGGGGTTATATAGGAATGCTAATGAGTCTTCTTGGTGAGGAGCCTATTTCTTGCGGCTGACCGGCAGAGGCTAAGCCTGGCACGCAGACTGCCCGAAACCATCAATGTAAACCCCGTGAAAGCTGTAAAAACCCCACATGGGTAGTTGTCAAAATTATGGTCCCTTTTTGGGTACCCTAAATATTAGGTGCCGTATTATAATTGGGATCCAAAAAGGGACCATAATTGTGACAACCACCCACATAAAGCCTGTCTTAGTAAAACCTCATCCGCGCTGAGGGCCCTGTTGTGTTGACAGGCGCATCGATGGGCCTGGCATCGTGCCAAAAGCATTCCTTGGCGTGGCAGTTTTGCTACTCGTTGAGGGGCTATGGCTATCCGACCCTGGTAATAACAAATACCCCCAACATAAAACCCTTTCAAGGTGGGTGCAAAAATTATTGTTAGAGTGGCGGAGGGTCTGGATAATTTTAATCCAGCTTTGATTTATTGCCGGGGTTTGCTGTCGAGTCTGTCGATTTCTTGACAGTCGCAATGGCCAGGGCCCCTGCTTTGGTGCCATACTTGCAGGAGACAAAAGTGGGATGAATGACGGTCCAAGCTACGTCGGAATCGTCAGAGGATCATCAAGCGCGTTGATGATGAGCGTAGGAGTTTGCACAAGTGGCGCAAACAGCACCTAGAAGAGCATCATTGGCACAACAATCTAATAATGTCAAGCTTGGGCTCAAGATAGGTTTATCCTGCACTGATCTTGGCTCGGCAGATTGATAACAGGATCTTGCCGGAGACACCACGCGCCAACTTGCGTGCACAACTAGCTTCTAGCCTCGGCTAGAAGCCGATTGACCCCATTCGTCGCAAGCTCAACACATCTTGCCACGGCACTGGGTTTTCGTGGGCAAAATAATCCTTGTCAGAGGAATAGCCAGCGAATGGTGCCACATGAGACAGAAGCTCCTGCAAGTCCTTAGTGCAGCAGCCATCTGCTGATATAAACGCAATGACCGCGGAAAACTTCCCTGTCCAATCAATATCACGCCCTCAGTTCTAAGTACTCGGCAGAAGCATTCACAGCAGCATCATATGCGGCGGAATCATGTGCGCGAAGGACTTTTTCGTTTTCGAGCAAGAACTTGCTCCTCCTTACAGGCAGCAACAGTGACTGGTCAAGCGAAGATTGCAGACGACAAGACAAACTCGTCCCGCAAGGCCATATGAGAACGAAACTGCACTGGCAATCTGACCAGGAAAGCATGCAACTGAACTGACTTGACAGACTCCTCAGGCAAGCCACGTGCTGGTGAGGCATAGCCCAGTGTATGGAAATTTGAAACCTTTGAAGCCTCAGATGCTGAAGCAAGGCTCATCACTTGGACCATTGGAATCAGAAACATGGACCCGGACTGTGATCGATAATGTGGGCAATGATATGTGGAGGTTTCCCAAAATTAGGGTTACCTTTTTGAGGGTCCCTATAATAAGGACCATCGTATATTGGGGTGTATATGGAGATCCCCCCTATTGGGGAAACCATCATGGGAGATGCAGCTGAGCTTCAGATGCTAAGCGGCACGAGGTCTCACGCACAAAGCTGGAAACTTACAGTGATTTTGAGCTGAGCTGCAGGTCTCCAAGTTGTAGCCAGGGGCAATGCATGCCGTTGCAACAAACTTCCTGAGGCTGATTCAAGGGGTTCTTCTAAACCCTAAACCCTAAACCCTAAACCATTGGGCTTTGGGGTTCGGGGTTTAGGGTCATTAGGGTCCAGAGGCTCGACACTCGCCATACAAAAGAAAAACGGGGACCCCATTTTAGGGTATAGGATTCACACTTAAAGGATTGACATGAAGAAGTTGGTCTCATCTTCTGTGTTGCAAGGTAGGCCCTAATGGACAAGCCAGGGACACAAATAGCGAGACTTGACCCTAAAAACCCTAAACCCTACACCCCAACCCCCGAAAAGGAACAGAACATCAGATGACAGACACAGTGTCCTTCATGGGGGCTTAGTAACCGTAGTCCCCTCCCCTAATACTAACACACCCTAACCCTCAAATAATGAACACTACAGTACTAGGATCCTGTGATGTAAGGGGATGGGAAGGCATTCTGAAGGGGGAGCAGCTTAATAATGATGGCAAGAGTTATCATAATAGGTATATGAAGAAGAACAAGAAGAAACCTAAAACCTTAAACCCTAAACCCTAAACCTCAAACCCTAAACCCTAAAACCTCAAACCCTAAACCTTGCATCAACTGCAGCCCCGGAGTCGGGGCAGTCAGGTCACCGTTTTTGCGGCGCTCATCATACTTACCCACTGCCTCGATGGGCAACTTGCCTTGGCCAGTTTAGGTTTTCGGTTTAGGGTCTAGGGTCTAGGGTCTAGGGTCTAGGGTTTAGGGTTTAGGGTTTAGGGTTTAGGGTTCAGGGTCTAGGTCCAGTATTTAGGGTTTAGGGTCCCCCCCAGGCACCCCAAGTAATGAACCTCCCCTCTAATATGCACTATGTATGGCCGCGTCTTGTTAAAAAAATCATTTCAGGCTCCCACTTGGCTGCCCCTGCGGTTTGCGTCCTCTTTCGAAACTCGTAGAACATAAATCCCCAGCGAAGCACTCAAAGATGGGGCCCCTCTGATCACTCATCAATTTGAAGCCCAGTTGCTGCCGGAGGAGAAGCCGATCCAAAACATTGGTGCGTTGTTCGTCTTTTCCTGGCCCAAAATCTGCTGTGGGCATGGTAGTTGTAATCGGAGGAGGAGGAGGACGGGTAGCACAAGCAAGTGGAATCTGGAATAATTGTACGAAGAATAGTAGCAATGCACAGAAACCATGGGGGGAGACCACGACAAGTCTAGCAGCGCTTGGGCAGTCGACATCTGCAATATACATTGAGCTTTCGGGAGCATATGGAAACAAAAACAAGCTGCATCAGTTCTCTGCTCAGGCACCTGCACGGAGTGGATGATCTGCTCAGAATCATCCTGAAAGAGCAGGATTCCCAAGATGTGTGGCACTTGTTCTCATGCAAGCTTTTTCGTGCATCAACGCTAAGAGGCCCGTCACCGTTTGGGCACAGGCCACGATTGGCGAACGGCCAAAGAAGCAAGAACGGGCACAACGTGAAGGAAAAAAACGCAGAAGCGATAAGAAGAACAATAAGAATCACAATAGTACGACTCATGATCACCATCTTAGAGAATAGTGCACCAAAAAACATCAACCTCCCCACCGCTGCAACCCTCCAAAGAGGGCCTGCAGTCTTGAAGAGCCCCAACATCATGAAGCCGAACATCACTCTTCCTCGAACTGCCAGACAGGAATATTGACAAACACCCAAGCCCCCTTTTTTATGGAGATTACCAAGTATGTATGGATAATACAACGCAGTCACACCCACACATCCTAATCTACGCATGTGACTATGAACATAAAAAGGCCACTAAGTACACACTGCGGCCGAGGCGCCGAGTCACCAAAAAGATTCCATCGGGGACAGCGGAGTGCTCGCGCGTGGCCCCGGCGCTCGATGACCTTTCTTGGTCTATGGCTTGGTGAACCCTTACCTGGGTTGCTGTTAAGGAACTTAAATTAAGTTACCATAATGGGTATATATAGTAACTGATAGGGTTTCCCCAATGTAGTAACTTAATTTAAGTTCCTTAACAGCAACCCAGTTACCCTTTTCATACAGCTGGTTTCATATTATCAGGAGCCAGTCGGACGGGATGCACAACGAAAATACTTAAGGGAGGAGGTTTGCCCTGGATACCTAGGGCCTAGACCTATGCATCGGCAACTTTCTCCACAGCATGGTCCAGCATGTGCTCAAAAGCTAGGAAATCGGATGTCTCATGGCTGCTACTTCTGAAGTGCTGCAGGATTGTGCCCTTCTGCAGCAGGGAAGCTACGACTCGAAACCCGCGGCTGACTGCTCGACGCAGAAAAGAAGAGCCGGGAATGTCCTTGCGCGGTGCTGACACTACGACTACGAACCCCAGGAATGCCTGATAATGTCTGAGGTCATGAACTCGACCGAAGCTCATGGCTTTGAGGGCGTTTACCGACTGCCTTACACCACACTGCCTCGATTCTACCACTGTCTACCCCTCTCTGCCGTGATGCGTCAACCTACGACAGGCTTAGCGGCAGCGCAGGCGCAGACACTAACACATGTAGCCAAAAAGCTTCGCTAGCAAAAGGAACCTGCAACCAAACCGCTCAGTAGCCAAACATCTATCCATTCCACAACTGATTGGCCTTGCATGTCTATTTCTGCTAGCAGCTAGCCGCATGTCGGCTTCCAGTCCGTCCTGGGCTGTACATGTCCTGAGCAGCGACCGGGGTTTTTAGGGCATGGGACCTTCTGACTGTTTCATCTTGGCTATGCCCCCTACTTTTCCCTCTGTGGCTCCGAGCAATCCTAAGTACCGCAAAAGTGCGCCTGTTTCGAAAAAAAACGCAAGATCATGCCGGGTTGAACCAGCAGGCAGTCATCAATAATAGGGGCCCACTCATACACCAAAGATGTGTCGTACCTTTCTTCAATTGCCGAAAGCGGCCCATGATCTTGAGAGATTGTCTCACATAGCCCTTGAAAACTCTTCACACACCCAAAAAACCGAATAGAACTTGGGAAAACTTGCAGGAGCCCTTTACAACCCCAACCTTCAAAATCCTGCTGCTGAAGAAACCCCCAAGTCTGAGTCTACATAAGCCCCATGTGAGAACTTCTCTATGCGAATTATGCGTGATTGCAGGGCGAAGAGGGGGTAGCTTTGAAGAACAGTCACACAACCGTAAACCCAAAAAGTAACAACTTCCCCTAAACCCCAAACCCTAAATAGTAGATTCCATTCTCTTTTCCATGGTCCCTGCGTAACCCCTATATATCCCCTAAATAGCCCCTACAAAGCTCTTAAAGGGTACCCTGGACTCGCACCCAAGTCTGAGGCTTTGGCAGCCCCGGCTCAACTATAATGACCTGAGTTGCGTTTTTTGGTGGTTCAACCCAATAAGATTATATTCCTTATATGAAATACTATACCCCAAAATGAGGATAGAATCTTACTCTATATTGGGTACCATAGCATCCCCAAATCAAATACTACTCGCCTGAGCAGCATCTTATGAGTCAGTTGCTTCAGTCTTCTCCTAGGTTATTTAAGTTTAGTATTTAGGGTTCAAGTTTTAGGACCAGGGTGCAGTAGTTAAGGTTGAAGGCTTAGGGTTTAGGGTCTACAGTAGTATTTTGGGTTTGGGGATTTGAGGTCTAGGGTTTAGTATTTAGGATTGAAGGTTGAACTCTGACTGGCGGCTGGCGCGTCGGAGGGCAGCGAGCACGAAGAGCTGGAACTCTTCCTCGTCGGATTTTGCCCAAATTGCGTGCTATTTGAAAACGATCCACCACTTCAGGGGGGTTCACGGTTTAGGGTTCAGGGTTGGCTGTCTTAGTTTAGGGTTCAAGGCTTGAGGTTAAGGTTCAGGATTCAAGGCTTTAAGGATGAGGGCTTGGGTTCAGGGTTTAGGATTTGGAGATAGCTTTTCCATCCCTTTAGGGGGGTGGGTCCTTAAAATGATGTTGACCCCTCCCCTTAATATGAGACACCCCCCCCCCCATAACATTAAATATTCTCAATATATTGAAGGAAACCACATAGTGGCAGTATTTAGTATTAAAGGGGTGGGAGGGGGGGGGTAATGTTCGGGGGAGAGGATTATATCCGGAATCTATGTTGGGGTCCCGAAATCCCAAACCCTAAACCCTAAACCCTGTTGGTTCCCCCTAATTTATGGAAACTACCAGGTTGAGGCTGCAAGGCTTTTTGCACGATATCGTTCTAGGCTTGGCAGTAATGGTTAGGTGGAACCCCCGCCCTGGAATACTGGCATGTTAAGGAACAGAAGAGGACCCTACTATGCTCCCCATCCCTTATAGTCACTGTGAATGGGGTAAGGCGTCCAACTAAGTTCTAGGCTTGTATAGTGATAGCTTTCACCAAAATTTCTGTGCAGGATCTCTTGCAAGCAAGCCGCGTCACTGGAGGAAAATAGTTGACGATCACCTAGCTTTTGTGCACCAAACAGCAGCCATTTAGCCAATTTGACACTGCTCTGTAAACAAACCACCACTTAGGGGTGAGGCGGGTGAGGTCGGTGTAATATGCACGACAGACAAGAGTGCCCACAAGCAGACCATGCTGCCGGGAGGACTACCCGAGCTGCGACTGGGATTGCTTCACGTAGACTTTCAATCAAGTCAGTACACAACAGAGACAACCTATTGGACATTAACAACAACGTTTTTAACAATCATGCGCACTCATGAGCGGTCCTGCTTCCAAGTCACGTCATCTTCCATGCAGCGTGGGTTGTCCTCACTCTCAGGTTTTGTCTTGTCCTCGCGGGGCAAAAGTCTTGTGAGGGACTAATATCCAGCGCGTTGCAAGGATTCATGTCCTTGAGGCCCTTCACTGTCAAAATTTGCGTCTCGTAGATGAGGGGAAAGAGCTTAGAAGACAGCCTGCTGGACATCATGTTCAAGGGTCTCAGTCCGTACCACCTCAACCCGAATGTTGCATGTGTGCCACAGAAGAACACACTACATCCAGTCTGAGCACACTCTGACTAAGAGGAATTTCGACAGATTCAATGGTTCTGCGTTGGCGGGCATGTAGCCGCTAGCCCGCGAAGGTGCATCCGTCGTCTTGGACAGCTCCCACATGGCCCCCAGCTAAGGCAAGCGCAGGTTGTATATGATCCACGGAACAAACCTCAGCTTTTATTGTCGAAGCTCTTGATTTCCAAACAAGAACCCTTGTGGAAAAGGTTGCACGAACAGGTTCCCTGAAGGCAGGCGACCAGACTGCTTTCGATCGTAAGACCAAGTTGTTCTTCATCAGCCGTATGAGATCTAGGGAAACGTATATCCTACTCCTGATTCTCCCAACTGCTCAGCAGCCACGTGCAGCCCACTTTTGGCGAAGGAACTGCAGATTTCCTCCAAAGGCCCACAGCGGGGGGCTGGGAGTTCGCTGGGCTGTTGCCATCTTGCTGTAGACACGCTTCCTTAGGAGCCCAGCTTTAGGAAGTGTGCGTCAGACGGCCTCCACGTGGCATGGATCATGAGTAATTATGAGGAGTCACCCAAAAAAGGGGCAACACAGCTGCCAGTTTGACACAGAGCTCATATTTGCTTTGGGGCACACGGACAAACAAGGACACATCACAGTCTGCTTGCGTACCCCAGACATATTAGGACCCCCCATTCTGGGGACCCTCACAAGAACCCCAAAATTCTCTCTTGATAGACCTCATGTAGATGAGCTATAGTCTAAACTCCTAGTAGCCCCCTTCATATACCATGTAATACTTCCCTATATAATCCCCCATATAACCCCTTTGAGTAGTTTAGGCTATAGCTCATATACATATATATATAGATACAGATACATATTGGAGCCAGGCCTAAAACGTATCAGAGTAGCACTTCTTCTTCGACCCTCTCTCTTGCGGTCTAAGTCAGCTTGCTAGTTCCTACACATGGGGGATCCCAATATGGACCCCAACATATTACACTCCTTAGGAAGGGGACCCCCAAAAAATGGTACCCGTAACTTAAGGAATCCCGGTTTGGGAATGAAGTAAAGTAGCAAGTCGTGGCAGTGCGGCCTTGGAGTAACAAAGCTCAATTCAGATTAAATTGAAGGCCCAGTGGACTTGGTAAGCAGATCGTTCATAGAAATTATGAGTCAGCAAACCCCGCTTAGCGCTTAGGGGACTAATAACCCATTTAGAAGCTACTTGCTTTCACTAAGTTCCCTGCGCCAAGTTCGGCTTTTGCTTGAGGATTTAAATTCAGGTTCAGAGCCCTGGATCCTAAACCCTAAACCCTGTTCTTCCTTCAGCCTCTTCAAGTCTCAAGCATCTGCTGCAGCGAGTTGATTGATGTTGCTTCTTTCAAGGCCCTTTAGGGTTTAGGGTTTAGGGCAATCTGCCATGGGCAGAAAATGCAGTCCATTGACATGAGAGACTTTCTAACAAGACGGATCTCTCTCTTATGCCCAAAATCACTATGGTGTTTTATGGGCCTTGCCAGCAGGGACTTGTTGACTCCCATCTGCCTTTACCTGCAAATAGTTTTTCCTGAGATGGTTAGGTGTCAAAAGATCAGGATTGCGCTGTACTCTAAAGCCTCAAGCCTGAACCAAAAAAGTCTGACATGCCCAAATCCACTACATTGAAGAGACAGCTGCCTGGGACCTTCTAGCATCCCACACCGCATGCAGGCAAGTATCAAATCATCGCCGGTACCTATAAAGACATCCACGCGACCGAAAGTTCTCAGCGAGATGTAGAGGACAAGGGCAATTCCTGGGCGCCATGATTGCAGAACCCGCTCTGCCCTTCCAAGAATGCATGATTTCCTGCAAGGAGGTCACCAGACCTGACCAAAAAAAGGCAGGGAGCCCACCACTCCGTAAACGAGAGCAGGAGCCACCACTTCGCTGATATGACCTGCAGCTGAACTCATCCTACCCCTACTACCCCTTGCAGGACATGCAACGCCTTTGCGCTTCAGGCAGGCCTGGAAGCAGAGAGAGGATTCCCCAGCAAGTTCCAAACATCAGAACCTTAGGGAATGGAATACATACTCCGATTGCCAAGTTGGGCCTCAACAACTCTCGACCCAAACGTCGCTGACGTCAAGGGTTGCAAAGCTATGGCAGAGTTAAGGGTCCTAGTCATAACGTAACACGCTAATTAATGCCAGTGCCAGGAAAAAGGGGACCCTGCTCCCTCATGAGCAACTCAAGGACTGGCGGTCACTGCGCAATATGGGGGTTTCCCAAAATTAGGGGTACCTTTTGTTGGGGGGTCCCTATAATAAGGACTAAAGTATTTTGGGGTCTATATTGGGGTCCCTTTATTTTGGGAAACTACCATATTCTTCTCATGCAAAGCAAGAGGCGAGTATAGTTGTTCCTCGACAGGGCAGATGCACTCAGACAGGGGAAAACAAGACAGAAAGCTGCAAACTGCGGCACAGCATCATGCTGCGTGACTTGAACTTCAAACTGTATCCGAGCGGCCGAGCAAACCTCTTCCCAAATCATTGTTCACAAGAAAATCAATCCATGGCTGCACGGAGCGTGACATGCTGCTCTACCTTTACAAATACCTGTCACACTAGCGAGCTAGCATATAGCTGACACTGTGATTCTGTGGGGCAACCAATCACAAGTGCCAATGACGGCCAGATTCAGTTAATGCTTCACTAGAATGTTTTTGAGATTTCCGGTGTTGGGGCCAGTTATCTTGAGAGACTCCCAAACAAGTGCAGGTGCCGGAGATAGCTGGTACTGCACACTGCAAGCTGAAAAAGCTGGCGGGCACTCTGTCCAGATGGCACGTCAATCAGCATGACCAGCACTCAAGATAACAGATATAGGCAGAGTCATGCCCCGAATCATCGCAGCGAAAAGAAATGTGGCCGCCGTAAGAAGGCATCCGAAACAACCAGATACCCTCATCTGTAAACCCTCCAACCCTGGTACAAAATGAGGAAACCTTCAGGACCGCCCCAAAGGGTTGCTTCGCAGCCTAAAGCTTAGGCTTCGTTTTCGGGCTTGGGGATTGCGTAGGGCTCCTTTTGGGAGATCCTGTAATCTCTGATACGACATGCCGTTAGTCCAGAAAAGCATGTAAAAGGGGCCATCCCTCCATACTGTCTGCGGAAGTGAGGAAAGTAATTCGTTGCCGATGTGCAAGAAGAAGATGATATCTAGCTGCCAGGACAGGCTTACTTGCATGCTGACTTTTGAGACGAAAGCAATGGAAATCAGCACTACTCCTGGTGTGAAGGCGCTGCATCATCCTAGGTACTCTGAACTAGAGCTATCCCCAATGTCCCTAAACCCTAAACCCTAAACATCCCTAGACTATGTATGTTCTTTTCCGTTATTCCCTCTATGGCACAGGAACCTTTTCCTCTTGTGTGGCTCCACTTCGCTGAGCTCTCTGCCCAGACACACGGCGGTCCATGAAGCTCAGATATTTGGAGGGTCAGGGGGACTTATGTAGTAAGTACACTTACAACCCCTATAAGCTACATTAGTAACCCCAATTATCCCCTTTAGTGACCTGCTTTCTAAGTCTGCCTGACCCTCCAAGTACAGTTTACACAGCATTTCCCAGGCTGAAAGCGTCCACTCTGTCAAGCTGTGCACGTTCATTCTGGGAAGGATGTGTAGAGAACTCTTCAGGCATGGGCTTCTCTGAGAAGATAATGACTGTGCGCTCCGCTGACGGGCTGCGTCTGACATGTAGACACAGAGTTGCCAGAAGAGTGCTCCAGCTAATGCCGGGAGTCCTGCTTGTTCAGCATGACTGAAGATGTACATCTTTGAAATGTCGCGAACCAGAACGGGTTCCTGCTCGGAAGTTATCTGGCCTGACGGGTCAAGGGAAGCCACAACTCAACTAGGTAGAAGACTTGTTGATCAGCACCAGGTCATGACCTACAGTCTGCTACAGCAACTCCCAACGAATTAACGAGCATCTCGTGACTCGCGATACTTACTAAATAGTGGCTTCCATGTTTCCATTATCCCTATACAATCCCTATATTCCCCCCTTATTACTATATATCTCCTATATGGGTGTTTACCTACCTGGAGCAGCGGCTGTCAGCTTTCCGCTTCCCGCAATCCTGTCGGGCTGTAACCTACCTGCTCTCTCAGAAAGGCATATTACTTCCTTGGCTGCGCAGCAAGTCTGGATCAACTTTCTATCTCTCGGCAGGCCCTGACACACACTCGGTCTTTGCCTTGAAAGTTAAGGCCAAGCCGCCGAAGATCTTGCAACTCACGCTGTGCATCTTCGGAGTTCCATCCCAACTCCTGAGGGTATACGGTGCAGGATGTCGGGATTGTGGTAGGGTGCTGAGTGTGTGAGGTTTGGGGTGGACGGTTCGGGGCGCAGGCGCTTGGGTGTGGGCATTACATGAAGCTTGGGACACGCGCAAAGGGGTGTAGGATTCCGTAGAACTCCTCACTGGGTTCTCGGGCTTAGCCTCCTCTCATGTTCCGGCCATCTGTTCAACAGTCATTGAGTCATGGCTGGAGCCTCAGGCTCCCGGTTATCAGTCAGCACGTTGCGGGCCATATCTGCCATGGGACCGAAGCCGGGGTTTATCAATACGGTGCTTTCAGGGAGGGGGGTTTCTACGCAACGGATGTCAGGGTCAAGTTGAATGTTTTAAGCAGTTCTGGCAGGTCTGGGCCCTGTCCATCTGATTGCAGGGTTCGGAGTCGGACTGCTTGCATCTCAGCATAGATGTTCACGCGCGAAACCGGCAACCTGCAAGAGTCATATACGCTACCAATGATGCTGTCCTCAAAAACCTCCCGACATAAACACCGAAATGTGCAGACATCGCACAAAACCCTCAAAAGTCCCTGTATGCTTCCCCCTGAAGGGGCCTCTATTTTTCTGAGCAAGTCCTTAGCCAAACCACCCTGATGCGCTAAATGAAAGCGATGCCCATAAACACCCAAAAGTTGGGCACTCTCTCCACCCAGTAACAGTCTATACTAGGGGTCATATTAAGGGCTATATATAACTACAATATACATATTATCCAACTGTTACTGAGTAGGGGCAGTACCCAACCTAAAAGCCTTGAGACAAGCCACTTGCTTCGGTTCATCCACAGTGCCATCAGGCCCAATGCCACCAGGGGAGGGATGGGTCCCTGGAAGCTTGAAACATGGGTGGCACCATAGGGTTTAGGGTTTAGGGTTTAGGGTTTAGGGTCCATATGGGTGGCTGTCAAAATTATGGTTCCTTTTGGGATCCCTATTATAATACGGCACCTAATATTTAGGGTACCCAAAAAGGGACCATAATTTTGACAACCACCCATATACTTTGCGGGACGCTGGGGTTACTAATGTGTAGGGAACCTAGATAAACAATAGGGCTACAACAGTGTTAATCTACACTTCTGAACGATAACCTTAGTCCAGGATTTTTTGGGGATGCAGATTCCCATATTGCGTCATATACTAGGGTTTTGGTTTTGGGGGCTTCAGGTTTTGAACTTTAGGCGTCCTTTTGAGTGTTGAGGGCCTAGGGCCTAGGGCTTTACGGCTCAGGGGTTTAGATCCAAAGCATCTCAGAACATTCATCCTCCTATCTCTTTTGACAAACAGAGTTCCTGAAAAAGCAGCATCCTACATCTGGCTTGGTGTTTGGAGAGGTGATTTCCTGCGCATCTTGGAGAGAAAACCCTTCCACGTGCTTACACGGAATAAGCCATACGCGTTCCCTGTCGTGGGTCTAGGCCACATAGAGCCGGTTCTCGTAGGGGAGGCTTTAGTTGAGGAAGTTGGTTCCCCAAAGGAACACTGTTCCCAGATACGCCAGAACCCATGGTTTTAGGGACGCTGCCAAATCCTGAAAGCAGCCGCCATGGGGGGGCGCAGCAACTTTGACAACAAGACCGACCATCCTCCCATCACGACAAGGATCCAGAAGACACCGTCACAAGTTTGAGTGACCATTGTCTGGCGTTCGGGGTCCTGCGGAGACCATTTGAAATTTATGAGCCCGCTCACCCTAAGCTCTACTTGTAGAATCAAGAATCACACGCAATCAAACTCACACCAAGGAAGTCCAAACATCGAATACAATTTGCGTACCTGAAGCCCTCATGTTAGGCCCTTTAAGCCTAGACACGGTCACCCCCCCATCTTGCCTTGGCAACGCTCCGAAAAGTCCAGGGATCCTGGCACAACTATGGAAGAATAGCAAGAATATTGCTAGAAGAGTCACGCTAATAAGAATAATAGCAATAAAAGTAATGATAATAAGAATAATACTATTTCGTGAAGATGCGTGCGCTTGGATCCCTTTAGAAAACCCTCTACCTATCTCCCAAAATTAGAAGGGTGTCTTCCAGCAGACCTTAGGGTTCAAGAAGTTTTTTCCGTCCCAGAAAGACCGCACACGCATAGTCCAGGGCAATCCATGGTAAGCTACCCGAGCATGATCCGGACTAAATGGCTAAGGGAGGGCCTGCTTAAGAAAACCAATGCATCTCTACCTTCTAGGATTTGGGGTTTAGGGTTTAGGGTTTAGGGCTTGGATTCCCCTTAATAATGGAGAATCAAATGGAAAAGAAAATGGAAAATGAAATGGAAACTGCTATATGTAGGGGTTATGTGGTGGATTATAGGGGTTATAGTCCAAACTCCTAGTATCACCCTTAAGAACCCCTATGGTACTCCCCTTTTTTAATCCCCTTACATAACCCTCTTTAAACAGTTTAGACTATAGGGCATAAGAGTATGGAGATTGCTGACATGGCTTCCATCACTACTACCTGCGCTTGCATTCATATCTCCTGAGCTTGAGAATCGTGAAGCCTGAACCTCCCGACAAAGGACCGCTCCGATCCCCTATGGCCCATACATTACACATCTCAACCCTAAACTCCCCCTAGCCCCTTAACCCCTAAACCCCTAACCCCCTGAACCCCTAACCCCTGAACCCTGAGCCCCTCATCCCTAAACCCCTAAACCCCTTAACCTGGACCCCTGAACCCCCAAACCCTCAACCCCTA